TTCCCACAGACGGCGCCAAACTGATGCGTGCTAGAAAATTCGCGGCGGTAGAGTAATGGATTATCGTCTTAGCGTTGCACGAGAATTCAGCACACACTCAGATAAAAATGAATCGAGCTGTGATCACACCAAAAGTTTTTACGTGGAAAACCCGTAAAAGGGAAAAACCACGGGGCCTGACCCAATTGTAGAAATCCACTATAAGTTTATGATTACAGATGCTCCTTGTCCCACAAACGGGAAATGGTTACTAGCTTTTCACGTTACAACGTCGACTGATGACGTCTAATAAGCGGTGGTTGACGGAGGTCAGCAGTGGCTAACAACAGTCGGTTGCCGGAGCTCAGCAGTGGCTAACAACAGTCGATGACGGTCGGCGGTAGTTGACAAAGGTCAGCGGTGATCGGCTAATGACGGACGGTGGTGGTCGACGAAGTTCGGCGGTCGTTGTCGACGCTCAGTGGTGGTCGACGGCGATCGACGATGGCGAGGATGATCTTGGACTTGAGCTCCTTCTCAAAGCCTTAAGTTCTCTCTTAAGCCTCCTCCTTTTCATGTGAGGGGTGAGACTCTATTTATAGTGTTTTGAGTGCAATTAATGCATGAATATGAACCATTTTGATCGGACGGCCCGGAAAACTTTCCTTGATCAGATGACGTTTGATGGAGATTTGAGTGCCTTAACGATGTCAGAATTGAGCAATCTTAGGAATTGAGCAATCTTAGAATTGAGCAATCTTAGACTCGTTGGATTCGTCTTTTCGAGACGCTCGATTTGATTATAAACTTACTAAATTTAACATTCGTTTGACCTTTAAAATGCCTCCGAAAATCCTTCAATACTGGTATAATGATTTGATCTAGGCTTGATTTGACTCAGATTAGACTGACTTTCATATTATTAGGTCCGTCTCATCGAGCCGATCAGTTTGATTATAAGTTTGCTGAAATCAGAGCTCCGGATGACTCTTAATCGAAGTTTGAATGTATCTTGTTCGAAAAATTGCACTGAGATTAGTGCCAGATGATGAAAATTTATTGGTGGCATATATGATAGATTATTGAATATAAATAATAATTTTTAAATCTTGATATTTTAAATCTTGCCCTAATTCTTAATAGTTTATGACTATATGATTAAGGTTGTCGAAACGACTCTTTGTTCGTGAACAACTCGTGTTCGGCTCGTTAAACAAACAAGCCGAATACGAACACACTTTCTTAGCTCGAAATATAAACGAGCCGAGCACGAGCCCCTGATCACATAAATCATTAATATCATATAAAAACTTATTATTTTTAATATATATATATATAATATATATATATATAATATTTATAATATAAATGTTATTATAAAAATTTGGAAGATTTACATATTTATCACACAATTTTTATGCAATTACATATGTAATATTTAAATTTCAATTTTAACATAGATATTTTCAATATCTTTTATATTAACTCAAAAAATAAAAATCTTATTATTTTAATATTTTTAAAAATTTAATTAAATGTTGCCTTGCAGAATTATGCAATAACACACGTCAGCCTATTTAATTTATACCCCAACGCAATTGGCTTCCTCGTGATTCTGGCCGGAAAACCACGAGGAGCGGAGGAAGGGAGGATTGCGAATGCTCTCTTCCTCCTTCCTCTGCTTAGGCTCCGATTCATCGCAGCCCTATTTGCCAAAGAACGCCATGGAGGCGGCAACGAAGTTTCCACGCCGCTCGTCCTCGGCCCCCCGTCTCTTTATTTTCACGCGGATTCCTTTTGTCCCTTTTAACCGTAAGCAGTACCATCCTACCCTCTGGATCTTCTTTTCCGCCGCTTTCGCGGTCTTGCTCTTCCTCTACCTTCTTCATTCTCCGAAAAGGATTGACCCCCCCCGTTTCAGCGTTGTCATCGACGCCGGGAGTACGGGTACTCGGCTCCATGTCTACGGCTACACGATCTCGTTGAAAACAACCCTTCCGGTGCTCGATTTAGCCTCGACATCTGAGATGAAGGTGAATCCTGGACTCTCGTCTTACTCGGGAGATCCAGCGAGTGCAGGAGCTTCGCTGGTGCCACTTCTGGATTTCGGAAAGGGGAAGGTTCCAAAGGATCGGTGGGGTGATACTGAGATTAGGTTAATGGCAACGGCGGGCCTTCGGATGCTTGATGATGGAGTTAGGGAGAGCATCCTGAATTCTTGTAGGATGGTTTTGACGAGCTCTGGGTTCCAGTTCCGGGATGACTGGTCCAGTGTGATCTCAGGCAGGTTATTCACTTATTTTTGCATGAGGAGCTAAATAAGAATATTTTTTTATTATTATTAGAGATTTTCTCCCCATAATTCATTTTAAGTTTATCTCGTGTTTGTTCTTTCATTACTTACCTAAGAGTGATTATCATATTTTTTTCAGGCTCTGATGAAGGGGTTTTTGCCTGGGTCGCTGCAAACTATGCCCTTGGCATGCTAGGAGGAGATTCTCAAAAGACGACTGGGATAATTGAGCTTGGCGGAGCTTCTGCTCAGGTTATTCCTTGTGTGACAGTAGTAATATTTTGCATTCTCTCTCAAAAAATTTATGAATAAGCTTTTGGTTCAATGTGTAAAGCTGATTTGCTTTTTGTTAATCTTACTTATTCTTTACAATTCATATTTTTAAATTTTATTTCATTGAAATTATGATTCCGCGTAACTCGGTGAAATACTATATATGTGAAAGGCACTTGATATTTTTTTTCATAACCTGTTCTTCATTTTTTCTCACAACCTGTTTGTGCTCCATTCTTTCATCACTTTATGAGTGAGCTTAGAGTGATCATCTGTGAACCTCTTACGATGCTTCGTTGCTTTAGTTTGCACTAAAAATTATTTTGATATGGATTACCATTAAAGGGAGCGTGTACTCATAATTTTATTTCATCCATTGCAGATAACATTTGCTACTAGTGAAGCCCTGCCATCTGAGTTCTCACACATGGTTAAGTTTGGAGGAGTTACTTATAACCTTTATAGCAACAGCTTCCTTGGCCTAGGTCAGGTAAAGTTCCAAAATAAATTATGAACTGTATACATTTATCAATAATATGACTTGTTTTGGCATATTTAAATCGGTGACCAGCCAGGTTAGGTTTTAGTGAGAAAAATGCTGCTTGATTGAAATTTAGAATTTGGTTGGCATATATGGAGTGAATAAAACACCTTAGGGTTTTCCTTAAAGCAGATCTAAGAATGAGATGCATTGGAACACACAGAAAGGTCCAAATTCAAACCGGCAGTCCCAAACTCTTAGAAAGGCCAATTTTTTGTCTATTTTAATGTAGAAAAAAGGTGGAACTCACTTCTTGGGATAATGCTAACAATTGTAGTCTTGGCCTAAAATTTTGCAAGTCTAAGATCAACGCTGCTATGTAAATAGCTAATGCAACTAAAAACTCAAAATAATAATCTTCTAGCACATAATTTGTGTTTTCCATGAGCCTAGAATTTCATATTTACATCATGCAGTGTTAATTTTTTTTCTCTTGTATAGCTTATAAATATTGCGACTTTGTTTTTCCCCTTTTCTATCGTTTAGATGGTGGTTGTGGGTCTGATCAGAGTTGTGTTGAGGACGTGTTGAGATGAGAATACTTAGGTGAATGAGGGGCTTGATTCTTAGAGACAAAATATAAAATGAATATTTCTGTGATAGGGTTGTTGTCGCTCTAGTGGTGGAGAATATTAGAGAGAGTCGTTTTAGGTGGGTTGGTCACATCGAACATCAACCATCTAATGATCCGGTTAGGAGAGTAGATGTTTTAGATTTGACTTATTTTAAGAAAGGCAAAGGTAGATTTAAAAATCCTTGGGCATATTGTATAAAAAATGATCTTAATCCGCTAGAATTTATTGAAAATATGATATTTAATATGATGCAGTGGAGAAAAATGATTCATGTAGCCGATCTCACTTATTGGGATAAAAGTTTTTTGTTGTTGTTGTGATAGCTTATAAATATGCTATATGATTTTCTCGTGTCCATTAAAGTTGTAATTAAATTATTGTTTGGTAGAATTTTTTATTCAAGTATTATTATTATTATTATTTGCAGAATATGGCTCATGAATCAGTTAAGAATTTGCTCACTTCCAAAGATCTGAAATCATGTGAGTTTTTCCTTTCTTGGTGATAATTTTTAGAGATGCCTAAACATAGTCGGTTAACTTGCTTTCAGCCGATTTGGAGTGCATAAAATGACTTTTAAATCCCATGATTCATTATCCTTATTGTTAATGGCTTCATTGTTCTTGAAGTTTTCATTTCAAGCATTTATCTATTATTTATGCACCTTTGGCCATCAAAACTCGTGTGTGACTATTTCATTCACTTTAAATGTCATTGGTTATTGTTTGAAGCAATATTATGTTGCCTGTATCTTTCTTTGACAAGGTAAGGTGTGATTGTTAATTAGCATTAAGATTTGTTTGGGGGGTCTGCATCTTTTTTGTAAAGATTGTTATCTAGTTGCTCTGGGCAAAGTAAGTTTTTGGGATGTTGTTATGTGGTATTATAAATATTGTTTTAAGAAAAAAAAAAAAACCAGGCAGCAATTTTCTTATTGCTATCATACTTTGGTAGATCTTGTCGCATAAACGCTTTCCGCCACAAACATTTGTTGAAAGCAGTAAGAAAATAGTAGTCAAACAAAATTGTTGTGGTGGTCTGAAAAGAAAAGCTGCAAAAACATTGTCCCAAACAGACCATAAGTTACAATCATACTTTTAAATGAGCTTACCATGAATTGTGAAATTTTTTTAAATGGTGAATTCTCTTCCAATGCAACAGCAGAAGCTTCTCCCGCCGATATGGTCTATATTGACCCCTGCTCTCCTATTGGGTATTCCCATTCTATGATGTCACCTGCAGTCCATTTTGCCAGGCCGAGTTCCATTTTGGAACATCAGTCCATTGCTCATGTTAGTGGCAACTTTTCAGAATGCAAATCTGTTGCATTGATGTTGTTACAAAAGGAAAAAGGTAAAATATTTGCTTGTTCCTTCCATGATTACTTATATCTGCTATAGCATTTTCCATAACCTCGGCATGCTAATGTACCGACTCTGTCCTGCTAACCTTTGTCCAACAAACCAGGCATGCTAACGTTTTCTTTATTTCAGCTCCAGATAGATGTATTTATCAACAGTGTCAGTTGGGTTCAAATTACGTACCTAACCTCCAAGGGAGATTCTTAGCAACCGAGAATTTTTTCTTCACTTCGAAGGTTAGCTAACCTTCCAGCTTCTGACCTTTTTGGGCTAGTTGGATTTTATCTTTTGGTTGAATACTAGTTTTTTTTTTTTCTTAATTCCTTTTGTGCCTATGCACTTTTTTTGTTTTTCTATGTTCTCTTACAGTTCTTTGGGTTGGGGCCTATGCCGAGTCTATCAGATTTCGAGTCAGCAGGTCAACAGTTTTGTGAAGAAGACTCAATGAAACTGAAAAGGAAATATCAAACTCTGAAGGATGAAGATTTCTCGAGTTATTGTTTCTCATCAGCATACATTGTGGCCCTTCTGCATGACCAGCTTGGGATAGGGATGACTGATAAAAGGTATTTTGCCCCACTTTTCTTTTCACTCCAAATTTATTTTGGCATACCAAAGTATCTATTATATTGTACTATTTTTCCACCTTTTTTTTTTCGGTGATGAAAGCGTTTATATGTATACTATGAACAGGCTCTGGTTTTCAAATCAGGTGGACAATATCCAACTTGATTGGGCTCTCGGTGCCTTCATCATGAAAACAATGGAGCGTATGGGTTGGACTGCTTCTCTGTCACATGACTATTTTTTCACGCTGCTTGGTATCATCCTACTATGCTCACTCCTGAGCTTTATAATTTGGGTGATTCTAAGATTGCGAAAACCACAGTTGAAAACTATATACGACTTGGAGAAAGGGCATTACATTGTTACTAAAGTCGGTAGGTGATTTTGTATCGAAAGCTTGGAGTTGTGTCTGGGCCTTCAATCGCACCATCTTAAATTTGATTCATTTGTTTATTTTTTACTTGTCATAGAGCTAAGACTTGAATGGATGGTAAAATGAGGAGTTGCGCTTCCATTTCTTCATCATTTGTAATGCATTGGGGGTTCTTGGAACAGATGGTATTTGATGATAGTTTTTTTTATTTTTTTTTATTTCATAATATCTTTTTCCAAGAGGAATCTAATGTTGTGATCACGATTGATTACTAAAATTCAAGTGCATTCATTCTTTGATAAGATGGGCTTGTATGCAAAAAATTGAAGTTTAGGAGTCTACTAGATAAGTAATTACATAGAAATTGAGCGGTATACAAGTAAAGCGCCCTTAAATCTGTCATAAGATGATGGCAGAATTACAATCGTGACTCGGCAATTTTTGCAGTCAATCACTCCGAAATAAAGGAAAAAAAAAAGAAATATGAAAGTAAAAAATCTTATGCATTAATCAACTGTTATCATTCATCATATGTTATTAATAGAAAACAAGCTACATTTAAGGCCACTAATTCATTAATCTCCATTTCGTAATGATCATTGCCCTCAAGATTGAACTTTCCAACTTGTCTAGTTGAGATGAAGATAATGCAATAATCCCTCAAGCTGTTATATTTTGTGTTAGAACAACCCTAAAGACACAAACGAAAATTCTAATCAATGCAAACTTGATTGACTCATCATATTCATCCAATGGTCCTGAACATAAAAGTGGCGGTCTTCTGTCTAGCCTAAATTGTAATTGATCAAGCTTGTGCACAATTTGTATAATTTAAGAGTTAATCTATAAATTTAATGATTTTAAGAATATGGCTAACGTGTTATAAAATAATTTGTTCAAAACGCTATTGTGTATACGTCTCACACAATAGCGGAGCAAGGTTAAACCATCCATATAAATTGACACAATCATAAAACATTGGCTAGATTATGGTGCAAATAAAGCTGTGTTGGTCCAATTTTAATCAAAAGTGAATGATACATTGTTAGCTAAAAGTTTTATCGGAAGCAAAAATATTATCTATAGTTGTAGTATTCAATTTGAGATGAAGACTAAAATTCATTATTGTATCTGAATAATTTATTTCACATGAAACGAAGGAATAATCACACATGTTTATCTTGCTTTTCATACCCCCTCGTTCTTCTCCCATCATGCAGATATATATAACAAACATTGTTTTTTATTGAATAGTCATACCTTTTAACCAGATAATACATCTTTTCGATGAATAATCACATCTTTTTCGAAAATGAGATTAGATGTATAATCACATTCTTTCATAAATAAGAGATAATATCTAACTAAAATAACTATATAGTTATTTTAGGTTAATATGTCATTTATATTATTGAATTAATCATTTTAATTAAATAATGTATAATTTTAACAAACTGATCAACCTTAAAAATCATACAATTTTTTGGATGATCATAAGGTGCAAGCAAAGCCAAAGAATGCTCCACACAAATTGTTGAAGCAAACTATGAAAGGGCATCGGGAGATTCTTGAAGCAGGAAGATCTAGACGATGTAAAGGAATGGAATTATTATTGGAGGATGATAGAGCTTTTTGAGTTTAGTTACGTGGTATGAGAATAAAGTAAGAAGAGAAGAGTAGGCTGGCTAGAAGATTTTTAGAGGTTGAGATAAGGCACTGGAGAAAGAAAGAAGATGACATATGGAAGAACAAACAAGAAAAATAAACACACAAAATTTCTATTTCATTGTTTTTCATATCGACACGCTTTGGACATTGATGTTATATGCATATGTATAGCAGCTGCCATAACCAAATGCAGTGATGATCTCCTCTGGTTTCTGCTGGTTGGCCGTCGAGCAATGGTGAGATAATTTATTTAATTTATTTTTTTTTTTTTTTTTTTTTTTTTTTTTTTTTGAACAGACGCAATGGTTCGCAGGGAGAACTGCCTACAAAACCAACCGACACATTTCTTCTTCAACTCTACGCCTCCTCCCTCTCCGGCCTGCACTGGCATATTCAATATGGATCCCTCAGACTACAGCAGCGCTACCGACATTGATGTCGATCATGACAACACCCCTCAAACTACCTCCTTCTCCTACCCTTCCTCTCCCCGAGCCACCGCCGCCAACGCCGCTGTTGCGCTTCCGGGCAGCGATATCCTCCCTGTTTCCACCGGCCGAATGCGTCGCCGCAGTATAATCGCCAAGGGAATGCAGAAAACCCTGTCAAAAACATCCATGCTGGTAAACTTCCTCCCCACGGGCACTCTCCTCACCTTCGAGATGCTCCTCCCGTCTGCCTCCGGAGACGGCACTTGCTCCCCTGTAAGCACGGCAATGATCTACATCCTTCTCGCCATCTGCGCTCTCTCTTGCTTCTTCTTCCACTTCACCGACAGTTTCCGCGCGACCGACGGCAAGGTTTACTACGGTTTCGTGACGCCCACGGGATTGGCTCTTTTCAAGTCGGGAAATTTGGGTGCGGATGCAGGGATAGAGGTCCCGCTCGACGACCGTTACGTGATGCGGTTTGTGGATCTCATCCATGCGGGGATGTCTGTGCTGGTGTTCGCGGCCATTGCTCTGTCGGATCACAGGGTCACGAATTGCTTAATGCCTGGACACAGGAAGGAGATGGATGAGTTCATGGAAAGCTTTCCGTTGATGGTCGGGGCTGTCTGCAGCGGTCTCTTCCTCGTCTTCCCCAACACTCGCTATGGAATCGGATGCATGGCCGCTTAACTATCTTTTGTTTTATTCACTAATTTTAACTGCTATTAATATTTGTTGTGATTAGTATTGTCTACGTTGGCTTCTCCTAATCATCATTTAGGAATTAATAACTTTTTGGGATTGGATCACCGAATTTCATTACCAGTAGCATGCATGCCTTTTGGTTTGTCTTTTTTTCTATGACATTTATGGTAGTTTGGATGGCTATCTTTATGTGTTCTTTTATTAAAGAAATCTGTTAATTATGATCAAGAAGCTGAATTGGGGTTAATATGACATTGCAATTCCCCTCCTCTTCTGGAGATGCTGATCTCACGATGTTGCTTTGCGTCACTTTTCTCTAATAGAAGCCTAAAAACTATGGAAAAGTAATGAGCATTTGCTGTTACTGCTGAATTATGGAGAAAATTGTGATTTCACTTTGTTGGGTTGATGTGGTGGGAGACCAGAGCATATTCAGGAACTGGAATGCCACGTTATCCCTGCGCTGCAAAATTTCAACTTCAAGAACTGAAAAACCCATGCAGTAGTTGCAGGGATATGCGGAAAGTAATTTATCCTTTGAAAAATATCTCTGTTTTATGTGTGCGTGTGTGTGTGTGTTTTTTTTTTTTTTCCTCCGGGATAGTCATGCGCGCATTATTAAAATTCTTATTATTTATAAAATCACCTTTTCTTTTTTAGCTCCTGAATTTATGCAGTTGCGTGTAATGATCAAATTATTTGAAAATTTGATAGAAGGAAAAAATGGGTTGCGCGCTGGAGTAGATTTAGGTAATTTAAATATATACCTTAAACATTAGAATTTATATATGTTGCACTCAAAAATTTATTAGTAACATAATAACATGTGTTGGAAAGTCTACGGCAATAGAGTGATTAATTAACAACTTAACATTGTACAAAAATAAAACACACACTGAGATAAGAGAGAAGTAAACTAAGAAGGCACCTGTAAAAAAAAAAAAGAGAATAATGTCTTAATGTAAAAAAAAAAAAGAGAATAATGTCTTAATATTTTTGTTTAAATAAATTCAAACAAACTTTTAATTACAAATGTCCTACAAAGTTAGTGGACTCTAGAGAGAAGAGTGAGATCAATATGTCCAATTATTTTTTAATAACATTTGTGAGAATCTAAACATGTCGGGGCGAATTGTGGTCCCCCAAAATGACAAACCAAACTTATGGAACTCATGGGTATTAAGAATGACTATGTTGCTAAATTCATTTCTCATGTGTTATAAATTATCGTATGTGTGTGAAACAATTGTCTCTTTTGAACTTGTTATTCTAACATGCTTAAGTTAGTTTACCACACTTCGTTCTATTTTGATCTTTTTATTTGAACAAATTTAATAATTATGAACTCAATGTGAGGTTCAAGAATTTGAGATGAAATTTCTACAATAGCCTAAAATTATTTGGACTCAATTTCTACATTTATATTTTTTAAATTGCTTCTATTGGCAAGTTCAATATCAAAATCTTTGAAAGCATGCAAGTTTGACATCCAATGTTTCTTGGAATTTATCTATTCAAAATACTATTTTAGAATTGGAAGTTATGAAAGTTCATATTTCACGTTTTGTAAAACAAGCCATGTATGATATTAGCTATTGTTGCGTGTCGGAAGATTTGTGACGGTAGAGTGATATCAATATCTTAGCATTACACGAATATACAGCACACACACACAAATAATAGAAAAGTAGTAGAAAAAGGCACCATAATTTTTATATAGAAAACTTTAAAAAGGGAAAAATCTTAGAAAACAAAAAAATCATGGGGTATAGCTCGGTCAAAGTAATCCACTGTGTATTTGTAAGTACAAATGTTCACTCTTCTCATGTATTAGAAAAGAAGAAATTACAATATTAATATTACAAATGTACAATAATAATTCAGATATAATATTCGTAATTATGTTATAACTAATATAACACATCATGAAGGTTGTAGTCGATGACTATAATAGCAGCATTTGGTCACAGAGGCTATAGTTGGAGACTATAATATCATCGATTGGCCACATAGGTTAAAGTTAGTGGTTGTAATATCTTTATTTAGCTATATAAATCATAATTATTGATTGCAATGTCATCAGTTGATCATATAGCCTGTAGTTGTTGACTGTAATATCGTAATTTGACCACATGGGTTGTAGTTAATGACTATAATGGCTTCAGTTAGCCTTAAAGGCTATAATTTGAGACTTTAGTATCCTCAGTTGACTACATAGGTCGTAGTTGGTGACAACAACTTTATTTGTTGGTCACACAAATAGTATTTTATGGTTGTAATAGCATCAATTGTCCATAAAGGCCATAATTGGAACTATTGGGGCACAAAGGGCATTGTTGGTGGCTTTAATACCATCAGTTAGTCGTAGATGTCGTAGTTGAAAATTGTAATTACATCAGTTCGCCACAGATGTTATAATTGAAGACTACAATATTGTCAGTTGGTCACATAGGTCGTAATTGGTGACTGCAATAGCTTTAGTTGGCCACAGAGCTTTAGTTGGTGACTACAATACATATCATCATTTGGGCACAAAGGTCATTGTTGGTGACTCTAATAGCATCAGTTAGTCACAGAGGTTGTAGTTGGCTATTGCAAAATTATTAGTTAGCCACAAAGACTATAGTTGAAGACTACAGTATTGTCAGTTGGTCTCATAGGCCATAATTGGTGACTGCAATAGTTTTAGTTGACTACATTTGTCATAGTTGGTGACTGTAATATCATTTTTTTATCACAGAGATCATAGTTGGTAACTTTAACAGTATTTGTTGGCTACAGAGGTTGTAGTTGGTGAATGCAATAGTGTTAGTTGGCTACAAGAGCTTTAGTTGAAATCCATAATAGTAGTTGGTCACATAAGTTTGTAGTTGGGGGTTGCAATAGCCTCAGTCGGTCATAGAGGTTGTAGTTTGAATACATCATAAGAGTTAGTCATTTAGGTCATAATTGGAGAATGCAATAGAGTTTCTTGGTCACATAAGCCAAAGTTGGTGATTGTGATTGTGTCAGTTGTCCACATAGGTCATAGTGAGAAAATTTAGTAGTTGTTCACATAGATTATAGTTGGAGCTACACTTATAAATGGATGCAGCCTTTATCTTCGGTATACTATTTTACACAAGAGACAACACTTATTTGAATATGATGTAAGGAGAAATACATGTGTTAGGAACAATCATCGTGTTCTAGCTATAATGTTCGTAATCAATGGTAATTAGTGGTCAGTGGCCGACAATGGTAAAATAATGTTGAAGGCTAAAATTTATCGATGAATCTTCAATATGGTGTTATACATTACAAATGTATTTTGGATATGACATTAGCAATAAGTTATTGCATATAAAGTTGAGCAGGGAGAGGCCAATGATAGTCAATGAAAACTGATGGCCAGTGGTCGATGGTGTTGAACAATTATGAAGGGCAGAAGTTATCGCCCAGTCCTCAATTCAGAACATCACTAGAATTAGTTATCTTTGAATCTTCAATACGACAATTTATGTTACAGTCATATTTCAGATATGAAGTTACAAGTAAGGTGGTCGATGATGATGAGCGGGGACGACTAATAAGCAATGTTTGATGATGATCGACGACTAGAGAGGCTAGAAGTTATCTTCAGTTCTTCAGTCCATAACATCATTGTAAGTAATTATCATCAAATAATCAATATGTCATTATATGTTGCAATCATATTTAATATACAATGTTACTAGCAGGGTGGCTGATAGAGGTGAGCGGTGATCCACAGTGGTAAGCGGCTATAAAGACTATAAGTTTTCATTAGGTGTTCAGTACAGAACAATACTTAAATTCTACAACTTCTCCCTCCCCTCAAGTGAGGCGAGGGGGTTTAGGGTAGGGGAATTTTTAGTTTTTTTTTAGAATAACTTCCCTAACCACCTAACTGGATGACCCATATTGATCCACCTTGATCATAGAATTTATTTTAATGATTTTAGAGTTTTAATGGTCTTAAAATTAATTGAGCCTATACTTGTTGGATTTCTCTCATCGAGATGCTCAACTTGACTATAAGCCCATCAAATTTGAAATTTATTTGATCATTCAAATAATGATATGAAGCCTAACAATATGTTTTAATGGCTTGATTATGACTTAACTAGACCCAAATTGAAACAATTTTAGTATCATTAGGTTTTATCAAGACAGTAAGTTTGATTATAAACTTTCTAAAAATGGAGCCCTATATGACATTGAATTTTAATCTTGAATATTTCGTGCTAAGAAATGCCACAATATTTGTGTCAAATGATAAATATTTTTTGATGATGCAACAACTGCCATTCTATTTTTGGACATTGACATTTGAATTATTCAAAAATACAAATTTGTTGATTGTGTCATCTGAAAATATAATTTCAAATGTTTCAAAACTTTGTGCTTTGAGATGATCTATGCAGTGAAGTCTGAAACATAAAGTTGTTGTCACGGTTGGCAATTGGTGGACAGTTGTGGTATGTGGCTAGAAAATGTTTCTCTAAGGAAGATAACAATCGTAAGGCAGTGTAAAGCATCCAGAGTTGTACTGACACATGCATAGGTGCATATGCATGTTTGTACTGACAAAGAAATATGATTATGTACAAAGAATGTAGTCAGGTCTATAGACAAGTATGGAGGCGAGCAGTGATGTGATGCATGTGTTGAAACAAGCTGACACACGCGTGCACTGGCATGGGCACTCGTGCGCCCAAGTGGTACTCTTTTGCGTGCACGTGGGGGTGCACTATTGTGCTAGCACTGTGCAGGCAAGGGCTGAATCAGTTTGGTGAAGCGTTAGTGTGGGTCAATTAACATGGTTTGAGTCAGATCAGCAAAGCGGTGGCACGAGCTATTACACAGGTCGAGGAGTGTCAGGTTAGGTCACGATGTGGGTTGATAAACTATTTTTGCAAACACGAGTCAAGATAAGTCAATAAACCATTTGCACATTGGTCATGTAACTGCAAGCTCAGGCGCGTTATGGCCGACTTGCCTATGCGTGCACGCGCATGAATGTCTGTGATCCTTTCTATGAATTAAACCTTGAATATTTATAATTTTTCAAATTTTGACACCCTAATTCTGGATTTTTTCCTATAAAGGCTCATTGGGAGGAGGGAGAGCACATCTCTCCAT